TAAACAGAGGCAGTTTATTTCTGTATTTAGTTCTGATTACACAGGATCGAGAAAATCCCTCGTTCATAATAAAAAGGCCTACCATTTCCTGAGCTCTTAGAATAGTGCCTTATGCTGTGAGGTAGGGACAACTCCCATTTTATGGAGGGGTGTGTTGGGGTGCAGAGAGTGTGGTGGGGCTGGTGAGAACCCTGAGCTGCCTCTTTGCCTCTCAGAGAATTCCAGTCACAGACTCAGTCATTGTGAACTTGCTTGTGAGGACGCCTGACTTTAAAAGCTGATTGGGAAGAAATTCCCCTTTTCCTTATTTACAAGCTGGTCAAATATGTGCCCAGGAATTGGGGAAAAGCTGCATTCCAGGGCCTACAGAAAAGCCAGTTAGGCTGGTTCACTTGGAGGGGCTCTTATGTGTTAAAATTTGGTGTGTATTACATCTGAGTGGTGTTTTTAAAATTCTGGTTTGAAAAGTAAAGCTGTATGTTGTTCAGTATTTTAGAAATCCTTTTATTGGTTTTTGTTTTTGAAAAGTAATAGATGATTTTTATAAAAATTGTTTCAAACATCATAAAGACTTGTATGTTATGAAAATTCCTCCTCCTCTCAGCTCTCCATCCCATTTCCTGTCTCAAAGGAGTCTTTCATGGGAAATATGTATATATAACTTTTATACAAATGAAATCATTTTAGCACAATGTTCTGCTCCTTGCCTTTTCTTTACTGAATAACAATCATGATGACCTGTGACACAACTCTACTATGGAATATAATGCAACTGTTAAAAAAGAAAAAAAAAAAAAGTAGATTCCCATATACTGACCTGGAAAGATAACCACAATATACAATTTGGTGAAGAAATCAAGTTGTAAAGCAGTATTTATTTATTTATTGAGATGGCTGGCTGGTATGGGTCAAGCAATATTTAAAGCATGATTCCATTAAATGTGTGTGTGCTTATATAAATATATATAGATGTGTCTATATAAACTTTTGAAAGGCCAAAAAGGACATGTACCATGTGTTAATAGCAGTTATCTAACAGACTGTGTGTGTGTGTTGGGGGTGGGGGGGTGGTTACTGGGGAGCGAAACATAGGACATTTTCACTTCTAAATTTTTATCATGTTTTAAATGGAAAGGTTATGAATGCTTTTCTAAAAGTTCTTTCCCTATTTTCTTAAACATTATTTTTAAAACATTAACTCATTTCTTTAAAAAAAAAAAAGGCTAAACTCTGTTTTATCAACCCTGCATATATAGCTACGGGGATAAATGTACTCTAAGTAGTTTGCAATTTTTCCTATTCAGTGTTTTTTGGAGCTCTTTCCATGTTAAAACATGGAGCTCTTGTTCATTATTTTTTACTACTGCGTGATATACTAGAGTATGGACATAGCATAGCTACTTTAACCAGTCCCCTACTGATGGTCATTAAGGATACTGTAATGAACATCCTTACATGTGCTTTCCAGTTATTTATATCATTATGAAATCTTTTTTAAAAATATCAACTCACCTAGAGGTATCTTCTTTATAACAGCCACAGAGAATTCCAGTCCAAAAACATAACACTAGTTATACAACCCATCCTCTGCTGATGAGGATGTTGTTTCCAATTTTTCACCCTAATAAATAATGACTTCATTAACCATTATGGATTTTTAAAGTTTATTTTTAAAAAATCAAATCTGAATCAGCGTTCGCAGGCCATCTGCAGACCAATGGAATAAATGACCCAGAGAAACTTCATTGATGGGGAAGGAAGCCAGGCCCTCCTGGCAAAGCCTAGTTGCTGCATAGTGGCCAGAGGATGGGGGCTGCTTCAGGGAGGACAAGAGAGATAATGAGATTTTAAAAAACTGTTTGTTGTCATGGACCCCTTAGAGAACTTGTTGGAAGCTATGGCCTGTGGGAAGAGGATGTCTGTCACCTGTGTGGTCTCAACAACCCTGTACCCGGATTTTCCTTTGATAAACAACCACCCTCCCCAACACCACCACTGGATGTATTCTTAACAGAATTGTCAATCCAGGTGCCCTACCTTCCCCAACCAAAAGATGGGCCTAGAACCTAAACCAAGACAGGGAGTTTCAATTTCTGATCTTGGCTAAAGCTGTTAGGAGAGAGGCTCTTTCTCACTGCTGTGTTGCTTAGCTATAAAGATGTAAGACCGATGTTGCCAGAGAAATCCTGTCTGAGATGAAGCAGGTTTCCTGGAGACCTATATCGAAACCCTGGATTCAGACATGCCTGAAGGCAGCTCTTTTGACTCAGTTACATGAGCCAATAAATTTCATTTTATGTTTCAGTCAGTGCTAGTTGGGTTTCTGCCACTTCCATTGGAAGAGTTCTTGTTCATTCACCCTTGCCCCAGAAGAAAACAAATTCATTCATTAATTAATTCATTCACTCAACCAGTATTTATTTAATATCTGGTCCATGCTCAGCCCTGTTCTGGGTGATGACAGGGACAGTAAAGTGACCGTGACAGAACTTGTCCTCCTCTCATGGCACTCCCAGTCTACCAGAACTTAAACAGACAATCACTAACTATTCAGCATTAATGGAGACATATGCCATGAAGGAGAAGTTCAGGAAGCTACAAAAGAGGCATCTTGAATGGGGTGATGGGATCAAGGAACTGAGGACAGGACTCTTAAGTTGACACCTGAAAGATGGACCAGGCATCAGCCAGGTGAACTGAGATCAAGGGCTAAGGGTCCATGCATGCAAGTCTGAGGGTTTCAGGGCACACTCAAGGCCCTGTAGGACTCAGGGACCTGGAATAAGATCTTGGGAATGGATGGAGGGAAGGGTGAGGGAGGTGGGAAGGGGAGAGGTGAGGTGACCTCCAGGCTCCAGCTGGAGGAAGCAGGAGCAGGAGGCCAGGAGGGCAAGGTGTGTACGTGGTTTTCCCTTCTTGTTGCTCAGAGTGTGGTGTAGAAATACATGGCTATCAGCATCACTGGGAGCTGGATGGGGAGTCAGCGTAATGAGGGGCACTCCAGCCGCACACCCACATCCCACCTGGCCCATAACTCCCTTCCTCTCACCGTCCACATCAGGATGGCAAAGCCAAACCATGAGATGCCCCATGTGTAGCTGTCGATGGCATGGCCGATGTGTTCGAAGCAGCCCTGGGCAGGGGGGACAATGGGGGCTTGAGAAAATGCCCGGGGAGGCTGGCAGCTGAAGGCAAGAGTCACTGTGTGCCCTTGGGGAAGTCACTTTTTTCCTCCAGCCTTGATTTTCTCATCTGTACAATGGGGTCATGGCAGTGTCTACCTCCCAGGGTGGTTTGGAGGAGCTAGGGAGGTGATATTGAACCCAGGCCCTATGCAAGTAGGTGCTGCCATGATGTATGGCCTAGGTATGATTCTGACCCTCTGAGCCTCAGTTTCCCTCTATGAAGTGGCAATCTTGATAGCACTGCCCTCTGACAGCAGTTGCAGGGATTCCATGAGAGGGTACACATAAGCACTCTG